TAGAATTTTATTTTTAGGAGGAACCCTATTCATACATGAAATCAACTTATGAAAAAGCAAATAATATTTATGCACCCACTGACAGTCACAGAGCAAGGGGTCCTGTGACCAGCTCACCTGCCAATGGCAGTTCCTATTGATTACCTATGGCTGTGGTTGCCTGGGGCTATCAGCTTAGTTGATTAGCATTAGCTGTCTAGTGGGAGTCCTGGAAGCCAATGTATTATTGGTTATCTTGCCTAGGGCAGGGTTTGATTGGTCCAATTTTTGTCTCCTCAGGCAATTATTGTCAAATGACCATGGAGTCGGTAATGTGGAGTTTGGACCATGCCACCTCTATCCTGAAAACACAAATGCCTGGGTGTGGTAGGATGTTAGAAGAAAAGCTGAGAAGATATGGGATACTTAATGCCTTGATGTTTGACTTGAGGCTGTGATCAGGCCAAGACTGGTGGCTACAGAAGGACCTGGAGAACTGAGGTTATGTCTCCAGAGGAGGACACTACCCCACTCTGGCTGAGGGTTGCTGTGGAGGATTTCAGCTCCGTATTATCAGAATGGTTTTTTTTGTTGTTGTTGTTTTTAATTTTTCAGGAAAAGCTAGAGTTGTGGATTATGGTACAAATAATCCAAACATTCAAATAACTCCAAATTGCTAAATGCTATCAGTAAGTTCAGATTGGAACACTCAAACAGCATGGGCCCCACGGCAGAGAGCAAACACAGCCCCGCTGCAGGCTGACTGTGTTCTCTGAGCCACTACTTTGTACTTCCGCAGTTAGAATATTTGTGCTGACACGCACCTTAGATGACATAGTTCCTCCTCACCATTTTGCAGATTAGGAAGGGAGGCCCTAACAGGGGAAAGAATTTACAACAATATTAGCTTAGTAGCACACCTAGGACAGCAATCCTTTACCACCACACTACCTCTCATGATGGTTTGGGGAGATTTAACGAATGCTCTTTAGGGCAGTGTATTCAATTGCTAAAATGGATGATTGGGAGAATTAAGCCAAGATACTGCAAAGGGAAAATTTGTTTTTCTTAAATTATAGACCTTGACAGCTTCCCTAAACCCCGGTGCTATATGACACTCCAGTTGCTATGGTAACTGTGTCAATAAGCAACAATCTCTACCAGGAGGCTGGCACCGATCTAGTGACTAAACATTCTAGAAGATGCTCATTCTTTTCTCCTGATCTATGGCTCAAACAGACCCTGAGTCTCGTCTCATAAATAGCCAGGAAATCAGCTCACTGGTACAAACCTCTCTTTTTTCTAGCGTTACTGCTAGTCTGTATCTGAATCTGGTCAGTGCTTGGAGATCACCTCATTTAGAAGCAGAGGACACTGAAGCCCGGAGGGCATGGCCGCACAGGGAGTTAACAGCAGAGCTGGAGTGAGCCCAGGGCTCTGATGTCCTGCCCAGAGCCCTTCCGAATGGAGGCTGGCCTTTGTGCTGCTGTTTTCATGCCAAGTCAGCTTTGTGAGTACAATGAACAGAGGGTGTGATACGCAACAGCAAATAAAGCTCCTTATTGATTGGGAGGCCACAGTAAAGAGTTATTTTCATGGTTTTAGTGCCAGCAGTGTGTTTCTCTCCACAGAGAGGGAGGGAGCAGAGTGGGGGCCGAGGACAATCCTTGCCCATAGAAACTCTCTCCAAGAATAATCTATCTTGAAACTTCTTATGTGTATTCAGCTACACAGAAAGAGCCTATGATTGTACAATCCTGTGAGTGTGTTGTTATGATGATAGCACAAAAACTTAGTGTAAGCATTCAACGTGAAGTGAATGGGTATCTGGCTAAGGCACCGGCCGAGACTTGGTATACAAATCCTCCCACCTAGGATGCCAGACCCCTAAGCAGTGAGACTCAGGGGGTCCCGGGACAGTTAAAAATAGGACTTCAAATTTCAGCAATAGAACAAAGGCTTTTAAATATTTTTTCTACCTCAGTACTCTGCGTATCACTTAATTTTAACAATTGCCACTGGTTTATAAGAGACAGACCACATCTACGTCCCTAACTTGCCAGTGAGCTCAAAAAGAACAGGCACAAGCAGAGAAGGTATAGATGTGGGATTTTAAAATCTAACTTTTGCTTGCTCAGAATTTTATCAGTCATTTGAGAGATTATGGTGAAACCATCATTGGATTGATTTTTTCTTGAGTTTAATTCTCTGGATGATTTCAGTCAACAATCAATCAATGAAAATTGTTAATTGACTGAACTGACCATCACACCAGTCCATCTGGTGGAAGAAAGGGAAGGTAGGTGGAAGGAAGTGACTACATTTGACTGATTATTAAGAAGGCAGAATCAATTAGGAATTTATGGTGTTTGATATACCAGGAGGAAGGGAAGAGAGGAAAAGTTCTTGGGCTGCTAATGAAACAGTAGAGCTACTCGTTCTGTGTTGCTCTTTTGATATTGCCTCTTAAGTGTTCATCTATTGAACAAAGGAAAGAAGTATTTGTATTCTCAGAGAAATTTTTAGGCTGCAATCTGCCTCACTGGAAACCTCACCTTATTTTACAACTCAAAAGAAATGACAGGATTTAACATCCTCAAAAAGATTGATGTGAATATTTTTATGTTATGAAGAAAGTAAGAAGACATTTCAACTTCTTGTCATGTCAACATGTCATTTTGGAGTATAGTTACAAAGTAGCCTAAATCAAAACATTATTTTTTGTTTATCTTTTCCATATATACAATAATTACTTTGTAACAGTTTTCTAATATCTACAGTAACATTTTAATATATGATTAATGTAGTCCGTTCCACTCTTAAAGAGCATCTGAAGGCATAATTAGTACATAATAAACTGGAGATATTTAAATTTTTCACTTTGGTAAATTGGGACACGTGTATACTGTAACCTTAAAACCATAAATCCAATGTAATAAATACAGCAAAAATGAATCTTCATGACTTTTTGTACTATTTTCCAGCCCTTTGCTTCCCATACCTCCCCTGACCCCCAACCTCCAGCACCTCTGCTTTGCCTTCTGTTACAATATATTAGTCTA